AAATCCCTAGTTTGTTTAAGGGGCACAGAAAGAACCGATGAAATTCATGGTACCGACCCTCCAATTTTTTTTTTTTTTTTTCAACATTAGAAAACTCCTAGTTTGTTTAAGGGGCAAGGGAAAAGTTGAAAAAGTTCAAGGTATCGACCCTCCATTTTGTTTTTTTACACAAGAAAACTCCTAGTTCGTTTAAGGGGCACGGAAAGAGTCGGTAAAATTCAAGGAATCGACCCTCTAAATTTTTTTTTTCAACATAAGAAAAATAGTTTGAAAAGAAGACTTTTGGAGTTAGGATTGAGTAATAAATTAACCAAAGTATGATGATGGAGGATCAGCCTTCCCAGATGACCTCATCAGATGGTGCAACATGAGAGAAACTTTCAGCAGATTTTGGTATGGCAACAATTTTAGTGCTATGTTCCACGGTGTCTCTGTAGTGTTTTATTTCCCAGCTATCAATGTTGTCTCCTTTCCCCAGCTGCTGCTGTTTTCAATGTCTCTCTCCAAAGTTGCCCTGTAATTTCTATACATGAATATATATATAATAACAGCCGGCCTACTCCTTTTCTTTGTGTATATAATTGTTGCAGAAAAACGGTAGATTGAGGAACGTAATTCAAGGGTTGATTTCTTTAGGACCGAACTTGCTTTGATACCATGTTAAGAAAAATATTGCTCTGATACCATGTTAAGAAAAATAAGAATGATATTATACAATGTAAGCTCATATGAATATTACAATGTATATTTCTATATTTAACAAATATGGTGGATTAAACATATGGTATGCTCATCTGGTTTCGTTATTGATCTGCATTGTCATAGGGGTCAATTAGATAGGCTAGTCCCTCATCAAAATATCAAAATGAGACTTATGTCAATATATCAGTAGAAAATAAACTAGTTGTTAGCTGCTGTTCCAAACATGGCTCTATCGATTATGTAGCGAAGTTAGAAAATACCCAACACAAAAATTTAATTTAGGAAACCTGTGCTGGTATGTGGTGGTTTCATTATGCAGAATTCAGAAAATGAAGTAACCTTGATTATCCATGATAGGAAAGCAAAAGCACATTTCTTTAATTAGTCGACGCACTTCTGGTGTAATACACTATAAAGCATATATTAGCAGGATCATGCTAACTCAATTTTACTATTTTCAAACTGTTGACCATTAGGAACAAATCTTTTCCAATAAGTATGCTCTACCCAGATTTTCTCCATTTTCTCGATCGGAATATTCTTGGTTTCTGGCAGGAAAATGTAGATGAATCCGGTCATCAATGCCACCCATCCCCCGAAGAAGAAGAAAATTCCAGACTTCATTTTGCAAAGCATAGCAAGAAAACCTTGAGCAACGACGAATGTAAAAAGAAGACTCGTAGCCACATTAATACTCTGTGCTGCTGACCTTATTTCCAGCGGAAAAATTTCACTTGTAACAACCCATCCCAGAGGTCCCCATGACAAACCAAATGCAGCAACGTACACACATATTAAGATCAGAACTAATACGCCAAACCTTTTGCTTAATTCTCCATGATCCCCCAATTTGGCTGCCATTATTGCTCCAATCAATATTTGTGTAACAAACATTAGAATCCCGCCCAAGTGAAATAAATCTCGTCTGCCAATTTTGTCGACCATCAAAGATGATGCAATAGTCGAACCTAAGCCCACGAACGAGAGAAGTGTTGCTGACAGCAGTGATACACTTTCTGCTAAACCAATTGTTCGAAAGAGTATTGGAGCATAGAACCCGATCACACTAATTCCCGTTGCTTGTATGAAGAATGGAATTGCAATTGACATAACGAGTTGAGGCCGATATTTTCTCTGCAAAAGATTCTTAAACGGGTGTTTAACTGATTTTGAAGCATAACTTGCATGTATGAGATCGTTTAGTTCGACTTGAACATCATCAACGCCTCGGATTCTCTGCAGCATTTTCTTGGCCTTTACATGATCATCCCCATGCTCAATTAGGCTATTTGGTGTCTCTGGGAGGAAAATCGCCCCAGTAGTCAGAATCGCAGCCGGGGCTGCAGCCATTGCTAACGAAATTCGCCAACCCCAACCTCCTTTGATTTTAACAGTGCAATAGTTTGTAAACGTGGCCATTATAAAACCGATATTTAAACAGATTTGAAAACCCATGTTAAAAGCTCCCCTGTATTTGGACAATGCCATTTCTGAGAGGTATAATGGAACTGCCTGCAGACAATAAATGATATGTAGAATATTAACTAATTTACATTAAGTTCGCAGAGTTTAACACTCAAAGAGAACTATTTAATTGAAATAAATCACACAATTCTGATACACTACTAATTGATATTGAGTTTTATATTTCTTTTTACTAGCAACTTGTGTAGCTGGAGCATTTTTTCTCTAATAATTTATTCTTAGCGCTTTTCAAAGGTTACATGGTGCGATTAGGTCAAATTGGCCCTTCTAGTTTTTTACTTCTCCAATCGTGTTTCCGGTTGCAACAAATTCCCTAATACTATTTCATGCTAAGACACAATGTCCCCCCATTTTCTTCTCCATATATGGTATATTGTTGAAGCAAATGCAAGGCAAAAGCAAATGGAAGAAAGATTAAGTGGTTAGAGAGGATCAAACGTGTATATTATTTCCACCACATCCGCTAATTTGTATGCGGGATTCATTTTTTCCATTAAAGCCTTGCACATGCACAATTGTTTAATAAATGAGTGATAGCAAGACTTGTCCCAAGACATTTTCCCTATTCTAGTACCATGTTAAACTTTTTGATCTAAACGTACTTTCTCTTAGGCAAGACCTTGGTATAATATCTTATTACTGTCTTCAACAGCAACATGTCATAAAGTCTAAATCTTCTCATTTTTTTTCAGCCTGTTTTTTATGAAGTATTAAGACGTACAGATCTTTGCACTGTACTATATATATTGGTGTTGGTAATTTGGCTTATTTCCCTATTCATTTTATAGTATTCGTTTAAGAAAATATGAAAAACACATCAATTGAAATCTAGAATAATAACAATATCGCGAAGGGAGACTAAAAAATATTCGAACAAAAATTACGAAGTATGAAAGGTCACTAGATAACACTATCTAATTACCTGATTCGTAAAACCAAGCCCAATACCGAGCAAAACACGACCGAGCAATAGCATGTAAATATTATACGAAGCTCCACCAAGGGCAGCACCAGCTACCAATGCAGCTCCACCAATCAAAATTGATGGCTTCCGGCCATAGGCCCTGGTGACCGGTGAAGCAAAGAAAGAGGCAATAAGACCAGCCATATGGAGAGAGGAAGTGAAAAGTGTCAATAATTGACTATCAAATTTGCAATAGTTGCTTGTCTTTGTTTCTTCCTTCATTTTTTTGTAAACTTCTGGGAAGAATTTCTTCAAAAATGATTCCATTGAGGTCAACCCACCTTCACATAAACATTCAGAATATTCAATCTGGCACTTCAATATTTCATTACACCAAAATTCCTTTTGCAAAATGTTTTACATTAAGTTAATTCAATCGGTACATCGATGGTAAAAAATAATGATAGCAAACCATTGTACTGTAAAATATGGATAGTCGTCGAAAATTGTAACAAGTATAGATTAAGTAAGAAAGAAGAAAATAAGGAACCTGAAATTCCTAGATCATAACCAAAGATTATTCCTCCAGTAGCAGCAATCATGCAAGATAACACTACAAAACCTGTAATCTTGCCAGCATATTGCCCACCTTCACTTTGAATAGCCAGCCCAACTGCCATGTTCTTCTTGTTCAAGCTGATCACTCACTGCATCAAGAAGTGGCACAAAGTGAAAGACTTAAATAAATCAACAAATTTTGTCCTCTGTTTAGCACTTGAGTTTTTTTGGATATATTCAACATAGTATAAGGGGTTCAACACAAAGACAATTAAGTTAAACTACCTATGTACGACCACTATCTATATGTGAAAATTGTGCACGTATCATCCTCATGACAGTAAAAGTAACACTGGTTTAACTATAAGTGAAAAGCGCGTAACGTGTTGATAAACACGAATTTGCACTCATTTATTTAACTGTTCAAATGGACCAAGACTAATATATGGTCCATGTGTGTTCTTTATTTTCTTGAATGTGGTTCATGAATTTGTATGTTGTTTTAATGCTAACATATTACAGAAGTTGGACATTGAAAGCATGATAATGCACATGTTTCTTTGAAAGCAAAATTTGACACTGATCTTTTGCTTGGACTTACATGCAGAATTACAATTCTTTACGTCTTCAATTAATATCTCTATGAATTTAATAAAATATAAATGGCGGTGGCAGATACTGCCATATCACGAGGTATAAATCATTGAATCCTATACTGGTAGGTTTATGAACTTGTTTCTAAATTGGGTTTACGTAGCTAAGTTTAAATTTGCAAATAAATAGGCTAATCTCCACGGCCTCGCAATATCACGGCTACATTTGCAAATATAGAAGTTAAGATGGACTTCTCCTAGTATCGAGCCTTGGACCTGGTTCTTCCTCTAGAGCTGACCCGCCTAGGGCTCGAGCTGTGCTAGGAATGATTTTCAGAGGCTCAAGCTATAGGGTCGGTCATATGGCTAAACGAACCATTTGTCACCTCTCAAATCTACTCGGATGGTCCCAATTCTCCAAAATAGTGGTCCACTAGTCTTTCCCACTTTTTCTTCTTGATGACTCGTCTTAGGGGTAGTGCAATGAAATGGAATTAGATTGTATAGGAATTTCAGAGGATGCATCAAAGTACATATCCATAAATTTGAACTGAATGACATGGGGTATATCTCATATGAGGTCATTGAACTTTCAGAAAAATATCAATCGAGTCACTATTCTTCAGTATGTCTAAATTAGGTCATTGAACTTCAACTTAATTTCATGACATGGCAACTTACAATTACCTAATGTTATAAAATCGTTAAAAAACATTACCTCAAACTTTTTAAGTTAAAGACGTGATAATAACTCGGTTAACTCAATTTTACCATTTTTTGAGAAGTTGTACGTTCCATACCAATAAAATATTCCGTCAACTAAAGTATAATTCAAAACTTGTTGTTTTATCTATTTGACAAATTCTNAGTTGTACGTTCCATACCAATAAAATATTCCGTCAACTAAAGTATAATTCAAAACTTGTTGTTTTATCTATTTGACAAATTCTTTAGAAGGATTGAACAAGTACCGAATGAAATGTTTTTTCACTCTTGCTGGATCTTATATTTGCTCAATCATGTAAGAGTCAAAAGTTTAGGATGCTACTTGCAATTACAAGGAAGATCAATTAAAATATGGTTGTCAACTAAAAAAATTCTAATGATGAAAATATTGAAATTAGATTGAGAAAAAATAAAATTTTGTGATAAATTGAAATTTCGCTAAAAGTTCAATAACATGAGACAGGTTACAAAATATTATACCCAAACAATATCATAAGCATACAACATGAGTTAGTTACTACTCTGATATCGTGTTAATTCAATGTTTTAAAGCGATGAAACAACTTATTGTCGCTTTCATAGAAATCACAAGAAAACACAACCTTAGCCATACCATTATTTGGGGCCACTACTCCACTATCGCTTTAAAAAGTTAATAGCTGGATATACCAAGCCATAAGCCTTTTGTCGTACCCTTCAAACAAGCGTGCTGGCGTGATCACTTCATAATTTCACCCCTTCTCTTTGCCATACATAAAGAAATAAGAAGATTTTTACATGCCCTACGTTAAAACAAAATTGTAAGGGTTATCATGAATTTTTATATCAAATCTCAAATTGGCAAGATCGTTATCAATTAATTGTTGGATCTAAGCTTGAGTATGTGGCTCTTGAAATGATTCAGTAACTCTTATTTTATTTAGTCCTCATTCCAATTTGCAGAAGGCTCGTGCATTTAGTAGATTTATCCAAGCTGCTATCTTTTCATTATCCTTGTCCAAAAAATTCTTAGCTGGTTGAATCCAAATAGATCATCCCACGAGGATAGATAATTGACTGAGTTCCATTTGGCACAATTTGGTCCCTGCAAAAGTTTTTGAATTCTGCAAATTGGTCCCTAATCTTTCTGGTTGTTACAAATCAGACCTTGAACTTTCTGTTTGATGGGAATTGGTCCTTGGAAGTTCTCTTTGGTGTGAATTTTCAGTTTGTTCTTTGAAGATAACTTAATCCGTTTTATAGTTTAAACTATTCTATATAGTTTATTGTGCGTATATTGCATATTGGTGGATGATAGTGAACTTAAATCAATGTGATAGTACACCCTAAAATTTTCTTTATTTATTAATGATTTTTCAAATAGGACTACATGCCGTGCTTTATCATGTTCTCTATGATATTATTATATTTTTTATTGATCTAAGTCTCCCCTTGAATGTAACTCGATGTTACTAAGGAATTTTATTTATTCATTGAAGAATGAAGATAAAGGCCATTGAAGAAGGTGACGATCAACGCTTGTAGCTTTGGAAGTTTATTGAAGATGTCCCCTTAGGATATGACAATCTAGTTCTCCTTTTTGGATCAAGGGTTAGGGAACTAGCTAGTATAAAGTCCATGATCATCCATATTTACAATTGTTGCATATTTTATGCATGTTTTGATTTACATAGTTCATGTGTATTTTAATATGCATGATTTGATGAGACTTGCGAACTTACATCCCTCATTAAAATATTATGCATTTCACTACTGTAACATTAAATCAAAGTTTCTCTTCAATGTCAACTTGTTGAGTATTTGTTATCGATTTTATCTCGTAAGTGGACGGATCGTACCAAGTAGTAAAGTTGACATTTTGAGTTCGAATTATCGTTCCCACAAGGACTATACTTTAATACTCAATTTATTATTCCTCACTTCTATTAGATAAAATAAACAAAAAATGATTGAATGTGATTTTTAAATCTAGCTACTAAAAAATTGCGTGACTGCAATAGAAAATGAGTGATGATTCAAATAATAAATGGAGATTAGGGCGAAATAAATTCACCTATTGGTCACCTTTATTTCTAATATCGAGATTCATAAAATTAAATTAGTGTTCGGTCCAATTCTTCTATGATATTCAATTTACACCTCTGGAGTTGTCATTGAGTCTATTTAAATAATTTAATTCTATATCTATATGCGAATCAACATTATTTAAACAAAATAATAGTTCTAAGAATTTCTATAGGA